GGTGGCCTTGGCAGCGTTAGGTTAACGGTTGGACTTGATGATCTTAAGGGTCTTTTCCAACCTTAACAATTTTATGATTCTATGACTCTACAAGAGAAAACGCATCTCTGTGGGCGCCAGTTCCAAAGGGCAGGTACTTAACTGGACTTCAGGCTGCCCTGCAGCCCATGCTGAGCCCTGTTCTGCCACAGCTAGGAGCAATACTTGACCTGAGACAGCTGGTTTACATCTGCGCAAGCTGCAGCTGCCTCTTGGGATTGCAGGGCAGGCATCTGAACTGTGGGGAATTTTGCTGTAGCACTTTGAAGAGGCTCCTGGCTGCATCTGCTTGGTGCATTTATCAAAGATTGCTAACCTCACAGCAGAACTGACATAATGGGCCAGACACTTCTTGCACTGTAGAGTACGAAGTGTGGTGTCTTTCCTTAAGACTGCTCTCCTCACCTTTCTGAGGCAAGGTTTGAGCCATCCCAGCTTTCTTCCCCACCTTATTTGCAGAACCGTCAGAGCTGTTTGTGAACACATGCCTGAGCCCCCTGGTTCGTAACTTAGTCACACTGAAAGACCATGCTGTAAACCATGGCTGCTCCGGAGTGGTTCAGTGAGTCAGAGCTCCAACCATCTGAAGCAAACAAGTCATATGTTCACCTGTTGCCTCTTCTCTCTCTTACATTGCTTCAAACAGATTTGGTAGAGTTCCCTAATAATCTCTCCTATGGCCAGAATTTGCCAGTTTACCTGCTAGGTATGTCTCAACTCCTTTGAGTTCTTGTTGAAGCTCAGGTGAGCTGACATCTGTGTGAACGCTAGCTGACATGCTCCACACACCTCTGGATCCTGGGTGCTCCCTAGCATTGTCATGTCTAGGCTAAGGAAAGGTCATGGCTGCGTAATAGGTATCAGGTAGCCTCAACTAATATTGTGTGGAGAAAAAGCATGAGAGGGGACTACCATGATCCCAGCCAACCTGGTTCATATTCAGGCTGCCTTCTGTGGATTTAGGTGACCACTATAAAGTGATACTAAGTTCAAGGAAGTGCTGAGCAACATATGTGATATAAGGGTTCAGCAGCCCTGGTAATCTAAATCACCATAGCAGGCAGTGAGAGTATGGCCCAACATCCTCCAATCCATGAGATTGACACAAAGCATCATAGTGGAGCACAATGGGTTAACAACCTGTGCATTTGTAATATTCATCTTGCTATAATGAGTCAGACCAGCTATCCTCGGGGCAGCCATTGTACAGTGGTAGCTGTTGCCTGAAGGAGTAAGACATTTTTACAAATGACAGCTATAGAATAGTTTTTCCTTTCTAACACTTGCTCTGGTAGCTCATCTTTGAGGGTCCACAGACCTTCCATCAGCGTTTGCTTTTCTGATAATCGTTACTGTGGTGAATATCCTAAAAGAGCAGTGTAAGAGTGGAAGAAAAGTCCTCCTGAGTCAGACCAACAGTCTATCAGCCCAGTATCAAAAGGAAAGGCTATTTTGTGGGAGTGCCCCAGCCCAGTCGCTTTCTGCAGTTCATTCTCCTCACACTCCCCTAGTTCCACAGCTGTTGTATTAAGACTGATACAGGATACATTTGAGGCTATTCCTCTTGGTACCTGCTTCTGGACCTGTTACCCATGAGTTTGTGGAGCCCCTTTTTGAACCTGTTGCCACATTCTGACTCCAAACCCTCCTGAACGCAGGTTCCAGAGGTCCACAGCTCAACGAGTAAAGGAGTACAGACCTGGCAGGGGTGACTGTGGCCTGGGGATATCACACCTCCTCGGTGCTCCTATTTATGTCTCAAGTTCTGCCTCTGTGTTATGCAGGGCCAAAGGAGAGGGGCATGCCAAACTACTACATTTTGGCTAGCAGCAGGCAACAGGTAGACAGCTGAAAACTCGAGGAGTGATCGTGTGTGTTGTTACTAGCATAACAATCAGCTGGTTTTGATTCATATCACTGTTCACTGCTTTATGCCTTGGCTTCTGCCCCCAGTCTTATCTCAGTGCTGTGAATTCAAAAGCCTCCTTCCACATAATGGAAAAATATTTCCTATTATCACTTTGACATTGCCAGCCTTTCAATTTCATTGCATACTGTTCTGCAGCAAGTGAAAGAAAACTTTGCACGAATTCAAGCCTGCATTTCGGAGCTCCGTTCGCTACCAAGAGAAGGCTGTTTCCCACAGCGGGGAAACGGAGTGGTACAAGCTGTGCAGGATGGATTGCAACAGTTCAAACAATACAGCAGACACACAGCAGCAGGAGGCTCAACAAATGGTTCTGTTGAGGTAAGAAAATGTTGGGAAGGTAGTGGGAGCCATCCACCAGACTTGCCACTTGTTAGTTCATTAAGATGATAGTCTGCATGGTATCTAAGGTCCATGGGAGGGAGAAAGTCATTAAGAAAATAAGCCCTCCAAGAAAACCCATGGGGCAATCTCTGAATGCTCAGGGAAACTAGACCGATTCAGGTTTGAGTTGCTTATAGAGACTGACTTACTTTACAGTATAGAAAAATGAATTTAATTTTCCAGAATTTAACACTGGATGTTTTCTCGGCTTTATTTTGATTACTTTCACAGAAGAACTGTGTCAAACGCGAAGACATTCACAGCACTTATGGACATGATTTTCCTTTCACCCTACAGTTACATTCTGTGGTTACAGTGTCTGGAACTTTCACTGATGCAATAGGATGTTTGTGCTTTCGTTGTGCCTGAAAGCATGTCCACAATTCATTGAAAGTGAACTCATACAGACAAAAGAAATGCATTTCATCTTGCGAGTAGTTGGCATAGTTGCAAAGGACAGGAAAAGCCTGCAGAATGGTCACTGTCTTGGCACAGCCCTCTTCAAATCAGTTCTCAGAGTAAAAAGAAAATATGATCAGTACTTGGAATAACAAGAGGGTTTGTTTATAATTAGCATTTTTCTCTTCTCAGTGGCAGCTTGGGAATTCCACAGGGCTCCTGCTCTGCAAATTGTAATAGGGGACCCTTACAATACATCGCTGGCAATGGCTGCGTGAAATAACTGAAAAGACTAAGACGACCATTGTAAGCTCTTGTACGATGGACAGACCCTGAAACTCAGGAAGCATCCATGTCTCTTCTTGGCATGCATCCCTACATTGCTCTTCTTCCATTCACCCAATCTCTGACACCTTTATAGCAGGCACAGAAAGAATGGGGAAATCCAACTGGTTTGCCCATGCCCCAGAGAATTAGGGGAGAACGGTGCCTGCTGTAATCCTGATGCGCTCGTACTTTATCCCCACTCCTTGCACTTTACAAGGCCCTGAATAAGGTGCAGCTGCTAATGCATTAAGAGCACTCTCTCTCACTTCCCACTTCATGAATCCCACTTTATAAATGTATCTCTCATGTTCCACCTACACTCACATAGTTTCGGAAATCTCATAAAAGACAGCCTAAAAGCAAATTCTGCAGCTAAATAAGCATTCCTATGAAAAGTATTTCTGTTTATCCCAGCTCTAGGCAATGTGCTATGCTGTATCCCATGCCACAGCAGTTCCCGAATTTCCTTCTAAGGAGGAAGGCCCTGGGAAGGGGGAATAAAGTGTTTTGAAACACCACATGCAAACGTTTCCTTTCTGCTCAGGCTTTGGGAAGTTTTGGGACTGGCTATTGATGATTTGCCTGGAGAAAGTAGAAAGAACCGGGACTTCAGATAAATAAGTCTTGTTGGATAGGTTAGTGACATGAGTCGGTACGGTAGGACAGCCTGATGTTTGTCTGGGATTTCAATACACATACGCACTGGTGTCTTGTTTCCCAGGATTCTCAGTGGGAATGAACAGGCACACGGCAGGTCTGTCCAGTGCTTCCTGAGCCAATCGCATAGCTGCGTTGTCACTGTTTAGCTTGAGCAGTGGCTCTGACATGACCCTATGTACAGTGACCGTGCCAGAAAATTTTAGGTATTCAGCAATCTAGCTGTCTCAGAGATCCAGTGTCCAGAAATCCTGCATGAATATATCAAGTCCTCAAATCCCTCTGGGCAGATTCCAGTAGAAAAGGGGACATATCTAGGAAAAACTATATGCACAGCAGTCCTGGGACAGGATCTAATAGATTTTGGTGCACACTAGTGGCTGTATTCTCAGCTGGGTGTGCATACTTGCATAAGTGGGAGGAAGCTGCTAACAATGCATGAGAACATATGTGCAAATGTAGAAAGCAGAGCAAGGTTCACAGGAAGAAATATTTTTTTTAAAGTAGGATCAACCGATGTGAGAGGACAGGCAGTTATCAAGAGGGGAAGGACTCAGAAGTGGTGTTTTCTTCTGGACATGAGGAAACATCAGCTCCAAACTATCATTTCAGATTTCACAGGCTCAGGGTCCACCTGGGTTTGGAGCTTTGTCAGTCCTAAAAAGGAATCCAGACTCCCATGAGTGAAATTTCCCCAATCCTTCTACTTTATTTAGATTCTTAAACCCTTCCAGAGTCATGCTGTGATTAGGCAGACTCTCCCAGCTGTAATTAAGACTCACTTCTAGTGTCTATCCAGGAAGCCTTTCTCCTGATTTACTGCTTCTCTGTGTTTTCTTAGGGCCTTGAGGTATTTTTCCTGGCCATTTCAAATGTGATTTGTGCTTTAGCTTCAAAGCTGGGGGCTGGAACGAACAGAGTACACTTCTGAGACAAGACCTTTTTTTGACACCTAACAAAATCCAGGATGTCTTCTAGTATAGTTGAAGGAATGAGATAGCTACATTCAAAACAAAGTTATCCATGAATATAGGGAGTTTATACTCCACTAAGTGATCCTTGTTCCTCTAGATTATGCAAGTACATTATACTTTTCATTGCAAGGGGATGCAAGACAGCTGCTGCAGTGATAGACTGTGGTATTATATACTTATTTGAAAGTGTTGACCACCATTTTTACAATCTACTTTCATTTTCTCATAGGAACAGTGTACATAGATGAAACACTAATTCCTCCTCTTCTGACATGTTACCAACTCGCATTCACTCTCATATACTTGGATCAGCCTGGAAAACTGGGTGTCCTCCACTCTTCTGGAATTAATCTGACCACATACCACTTTGTTGATAATTTTGATAGGTAACCAAATGTTTTTCTTCCTGGTACCAGAAAATAGCAAGTTCACATCGTTTGTTACACTATCCTTGGCCCTGCGAAGGTCCTGGGTATGTATACTCAGTCCCATCTGAAGACGACCCTAGAGGTGAGTCTTTATCAAAATGCCTAGGGCAATCTGAGAAGATGTAGAGCTGGCTGTCGTGCCTGGCTGGAACAGCAGTCTGACCAACGTTTATATGATTAATTCCAGTGTACCCAAACCAGAGAATGATGTAGTAGATTTTTGTATTTAAAAAAAAACAAAAACAAAACAACAGCAAACCCACAACACTCAAGCAACAAGCAAACAAAAACCCACTCTTAAACATGCATGGATTCTAACTTGAAAGATTTCTTAGGGAGGACAAGAACTCTATAACCCAGGAGATGCGGCCATTCTTCAGAAACTTCATGCAGCAAGCTACTTAAATTGCTGCATAGAGAATCTCTGCCAGAAAATATCTCATACAGTGTTAGAGAACCCTTGCAGGGGTCAGTTGAACAGGTAGGAGCAGCTCCTTTAGAAGCCTCTCACTGACAGCTGAACATACGATCCGCTTCCCTTCACCACATTCAAAGTAACGTCCACACCAGAGACTTTGAATTTTCCTGGTTTCCATACAACAGCAGACACCACAGACATCAGTCACACTTGCCAGCTCTAGTCTTCCCTCTGAGTTGCTCCATGCTAACTATATTTCATTCCCTGTTTCTGCTGCCTTACTTCCCTTTGAGCTGTTTGTGACAGGCATCAAGTGTTTCTTCCAAGAATGCATACCTTATAAAGGGAAAGAACAATTAAATTAAAAGTAGCTTTTTTGTGGCTTCATTAGTGGATACAATTTATAGTGATCCTATTTAATTCAAAAAATATCCAAAATAAAACTAGAGAGATAATTCAAAGAACATAGAGATCTTATAGCATAGTATAGTACACTTGATTTTAGCACAGGTACTGGAGAGGGTACTGGGGACTTCCAAAAGGCAACACATCACACTTGCCTATCTTGAGGAAACTTTAGCTCAAAGTTTAGTTCTGTGCAGAATTTCAAGGACAAAGGACTTCTCCCCAAGCTAGCAATCCTTCCCGTTCTACACGCTGCATAAATGTAACCTGTGGATGAAATTCAGTCTTCTGCAAGTCCAGACAAAAGGTGTTTCACAGACCTAAATGGTATCTAAGGGTTGGCCTTGGTCTTTCACATAAGGGTGAATAAGCACTAAGGAGCCAGGAAGCCAGCAGAAAAGCACCTACAATTCTCAGATTTTTGTTGAAAAACAAAAGCCAGTGATCACAGAAAGGCAGAAGGGTATTTCACCCTTACAAAAGGCCACGTTTCTAAAAAAGGCAGCTTTTTGCTTCAGTGACTGAAATTGTTTTCGTCACAAGCATTTTTTTTATGCAGAGTAAGTTGGATTTTTATTTGTTTCCTTTTCTCAGGAGGCATTTGAATATTTTTTCTCAGATACAGCATCTTTTGAAGAAGGGAAAAAAAAAAAAAAAGAGATACCTTCTTGGAAATGAAGCCTGGATGACTTAAGCCAGATAAAGTAGGCATTTACCCTGTTAAATTCAACTATATCAAGTAGACCATGTGTGGTGAGCAAGTACTTAACATCTCCCACATGCATTTTCTATTTAGTCCACTATGAAGAGAAGTAGCAATTCTGTTTCTGTGATACTTTAAAGCACTGGTGAAACACTTGCACAGGTTGCCCAGAGAGGTGGGAGATGCCCCATCCCTGGAAACATTCAAGGTCAGGTTGGATGGGGCTCTGAGCAACCTGATCCAGTTGAAGATGTCCCTGCTCATTGCAGGTGGGGTTGGACTAGATGGCCTTTAAAGGTCCCTTCCAACCCAAACTATTCTATGATTAGAAAACATACTAGGGGAAGTATTTCTGCATTGAACTATAAGGCATGGACAAGAGAAAATAAGCCCTGCTTTATCAAATTTTTGGAACTCCCTAATTCCATCTTTCTTTTTTCGATGGGATGAATGTCAGGTTCTACCAAGTCAATTTCTTCCTTCTGTCTGAAGAGCCGCATGCCTTAGTTACATGCCCTCATAAATCAGTTGATTCCGGTATTTTGCAGTTAAGATTTAATGTAAGACTTATCTGGAGTGTTTGTTATTCATCAAAATCTAATGCTTTGTATGTCACTTTGGTGCATCAATGCCTGATTGCCAAACTGGCATCTCTGTGGCCCTGTTACTGAGGTGCAGTAATGCATGGTGCTGGCTGGAACAGCAAATTACAGGCATATAATTACAGTCAGTAAACTGAGGGGTAAATAATTGGGAACAAGTAAGATCACTATCTGTGAAATCCTGCACCAGAGGGAAGATGCTTAGCAGAGGGAGTGTGCACAGCTGGGCAGGAGGGCAAAAAGGCAGCCAGCGAGGGGCCAGACCTGTCATTGAGATGCACTGGCTCATCTCAGCAGAGAAGGTTAGTGTTTCTCTTTGTGAAGCCTTCTCTTCTGAAAGAAGTGCTCTTTTTTGCTTTTGCTGTTATGCTTCTAAAGCAACACAACTTAAAAACCAAAAAGCTTTCCACATGCTTCCATCCATGTGGAAGAGATTACTCCAGAGCTGCGCACCAGGAATGCACGGCCACTGTACTGCCTGCAGCACCGTTGCACTGCCGCCGCACCGCGGGCAAAGCCTGGCGGGCAGCAGCAGAGCACGCTGTGGGCAGCCGGGCACACGCCTGCTGCGGCTCAGCGGGAAGAGGCAGGAAGGACAGGACAGGACGATGAAGAAACATAGCATCAACAAGCTGTTGATGAAGTATGCTTACATGTGAGCTAGCAGAAATGCAAGCACTTAAGGAGGCGTTACGGTTATATTAGAAGTAGTTTCTTTAGCGTGAGACCATGATGGCTGGTATTTATAGTACAGGCGTGCCACTGGCAATTTGCTGGTGCAAATCAGATGTAGTCTTTAGGCAAATGTGCATTTTCCTAACAGTTAAGCTGCAAAGAGGCCAGAATATTCCTAGCTGACTAGTAAGCATAGGAGGCAGACTTTGTTACAACCTGCAGTCATTTAAAACCTGAATATTTGTTAAAAGTATTGAAAATGCTTACTCTTTTGAGATCCTGACTTCAGAGGGGAAAAAACACCAGCACCAGCGAAGTTAAGTCTCAGCAGCAGCTACAGGGCAGGAAACGTGGCCAACCTGCAATAGGATGACAAGCATTTTTCAAGTCACCAGGAGCCCATTTTTTTGTCAGATTAGGAAGGATAATGGCATGAAGGGATTATATCTAGAAACTGTGGTAATATCAAGGGAAGTCACAGTAGCTACCTCAGTTTTTGTATGCAGTAAAATATTTCTCTGGGTCTCTGACCAGCACGTGCTAGTCTGGCTCCAGTTGGAGGTGATAGGCTACAGATGTAATGCAGCCATGGTTTTGATGAAATAAAGGTGCATCAGTGTAGCAAATGCTCTGTCTATAGCTCTGCAAAAGATAATTATATCCTTCAGGCAGTTCAGCTACCCCCAGCTCACAAACAGTCCCTGTTAGCCATTTTCATTAGTTCCTCAAAGGACTCCATAATAATTTCTTTGTTCGCAGTAACTCAGAGGCAAACGCTAGGGATAAGTTCGGTTGGAGAGGTGTATTTTTTAGGGAAATCGGGCCTGATCTGACAACAGCAAGGCTGCCACAGCTCCATGCCCCTCAGCCCAGCCAGCTGTGAGGCTGAACATGTGTTCCCAGCAGGCAGATGCACACAAAACACATGTATATAACACATCTATACATGCATGATTGGTCACACAGGTCACAGACACTCGGAGCACTCACACGAACACAGACTGCACCAGTGGCCTCAGCCTCCTCCCCTCTCTGGCTGAGCAGGATGGAGATCCACTAGCAGAAATATATATATATGCATGTATATATACACACAAAGACATATCTATCTCCATACGTACAATGTGGATCCCTCCAGCAGCTGGGCTCAGACACTCAGTCTGCCCAGTAGCTGCTCCTGGATCCCAGTCTCCCCAGGTGCTGGCACCCGGACATCGGAGCCCCCAAGGCTGCAGCCCCACTCCAGTTGCTGGTACAGACCGTTGTACGCATCCCCCCCAACGGCCAGGACTCCCCTCGTCCCTCCAATAGCCAGCTCCTCCCGTGGTCTCACCCTTGGAGACCCCCTTGCTCCCAGGCGGTTTCTCCGCTTCACCGGCTGGTCCATTTTGATCTTTGCTAATGATCACGCGCTCCCTCGCACTTGTTCCAGCCTCTGCACCACAGACACAGGGGCCTCCAACCCCTGGTGTGGCTCCAGCTGCTGCACTGAGGCCCCCCACCCCGTGCACACAGGAGAGCCCTCAGCCAGGACAGAGCTGGGAAGGAATTTAAGAAGAAGATGGGACAGCCTGTGGTGATCAGGGCAGGGCCTGGCCAGGCAAGCGTACTGACCAGCCAGCTCTTTACACGGGACCGGCTCTTTTTACCCCCTTACCCCTCTGTTCTCCCACACTTGTTCTTTCCCAAATCACCTAGCTCCATCCCTTTGCCCACTTTTGCTTCCTCCCCTAGACATCCCGTAATAAGCCTTGTGCAGTCCCAGACTGCTCTTCCCCTGCATCCCATAATGTGTCCCACACCCCTAGCCAGCACCCCCCTCTCAGTCGGAAAGGTGCTGGGGGTTTGACTCGTCTTCATGGGTTTCACAGCTGGACACGGGCTCTCCAGGGCCAGCCCCGGCAGCGGCCCCCGGAAGGTGTCCCTTCCTCCCGGCCCCGAATGTGGTTTCCTGGTCTGACACCATGCCCCTGTGCTCCTGTAGGCTTGGGGAAATAGGCCTTTGACGGGCTGAGGGCAGGAGCCAGGACAGGGCGTTATTTGGGCTCTTCTGCCTCTCACTGTGTCTCTGTTCTCCTTCGAGGGTGTGCTTCCATCACATAACCTAAAGGTTTTCGTGAAATTAAGGTGTACTACTGTAGGAAATACTCTGTCTATAGCTGTATAAAAAAAAAAAATAATATCTTTAGATAGTTCGGCTCCCCTGAACTCAAGAGCAGTTCCTGTTATCTACTTTTGTCAGTTTATAAAGGAGATAATTACTACTTCGTTCCCAGAATCTCATAGATAAACAGTAAGGATAGATCTGGATGGAGAAGGTATACTCCCTGCCCCCTGCACGCCCCCCACACCCCAAAAAAAAACCTCTAAGCTTGAACTGTCACCTCTGTTGATATGGTTTAATATCTTTGTAGTAGAACTCATTTGTGAAGGTCCACTGTTAAGTTTCCCCAAACGCTCCCTACAGGACATTTGTTAGCAGCCTTTCCTAAAATACACCTTAGCCTTTATTTAGAGTTATTCAATAGTCTTTGGGAACAACGAGCAGATGTGCTGAGAAGACTCAGTACTTCACCAACACTAAATATCAGGCAAGGTCAGACTCAAAACTTTCTCACCTAACTACTCTTTCAGGGTAGAAGCTAGTGTCAAACATGCCTGACATGTTTCTAGACGCTGTTGCCGATTGTCAACGATGAAGAAACTCTTTGCAGTCACTTATGTAGTATTACATCAAACCTGGGAGTTGGGAATCACACCTACTGTTGCTCTGTTAAGAAGCATCTTTAGGATAGACTATATACTTTAAAAAAAAAATTCCCAGTCAGCCTTCAAGTGAGAAGGCCAAATTTAGTCTACTTGAACTATAAATAACTGAAGCAGTAATAGGAAGCGGCGCTGTCCCTCAGAAGGTCTCCTGTACACACAGAGACCCGCCAGTGCAAAGCTTAGAATATAAGACAGCTGTGGATTGTTCCGTCTTCTTCCAGCAGTGGCACAAAACCTGTTGGTGTTTCTACAGTGAACCTCTCAATCCATTTCATATTGGCTTAAATATAAGCCAAAGCTCAAAAATATGCTTTTAAATCTGCTTTTGAATAGATGAGCTGTTTTAGCAAGATATCTCTCTTCTCTCCATAGTGGGACCTGTGCTATTCAAACAGACCAAGTTTCATCACCTATCAAGAGAGGATTAGGGCAGAGGCAGCTCTTGCACACTTTGATTTGTGTTTCAGATAGCAATTTTGACTAGCCAGTCCAGCAAAGAAATGGTAAAGCAGCTGGAAAAGAAGTTAAAAGATGTAGACCTTGTGAGTCTGCGAAGAATACAAGTCATTGAAGTTTTGAAGAGAGACTTTCTGGAGCCAGAGGATGTGGAACAGTGCATGCCAGCAGAAGAGCCCAGCAGCAATGGTGAGTATAAGACAGACAAGGTATTCAGGGAAGTCATGGCTTTGGACAGCAGGACAACCACTAGTTCTTGCTTTGGTCCCATATATACCACTTTCCTTTGTGCCGTTTAGTGTCATTCATGTAAGTGGGAACTACTGTGCCTGGAGGAACAGCAAAAAGTTTGTACCACAACGCTTCTCTGGGGCTTATATCACATCTGGGCAAAATCAGTATATGAACTTCATGCATTACTGCATCTCTTGGTATTACCTAAAATTGACTTCATGTGCAATACAGCTTTATCGAGGGATTAAAAAGAAAAACGCATAGAGTTTATGGGGGCAACACGCTCTCAGACACACATATACTCATGCTGCTGAACATCACCCTGGGCAATTGACGGGCTGATCAAAAGGTCCTTGGTGCCGGCAGAGAAAACCAGGATCCTTGAAGCAGGTAGTTGTGGGGGAGAGAAGCAGGCAGACAGGCAGAAGGGAGGGAAGCAGAAGCAGGCAGGCCATTTACAGTTTCAGTGATCCTATACAGATAAGCCCCTCCTCCCCCTCACCAACTCAAGATCTTGTCCTTTTACAACAGTGTTTGGTTTCCAGACAATTCTTAGCCTTTAGTCCTTTCCCCCAAACTACATATTGCACATTGCTGGGAAGAGTTACTTTCCCAGATGAAGTCAGGTGCTTACCTTGTTGATGAGCTGGTTTTTGTCACTGATATTGTTCTTAGCTGCTGCTTCTTTTCTCTATGTTTAGGGCAGTTTTTCTTGAGCTCTTAAGGTTGTACTTCTCCAGTAACCAGTAACTACACATCAATGAGTTCTTCACAGCCCTGCAGCCTCTGTTTTCCAATCCAGGTCTCCATTTCAAAGGCCTTTACTGCTGACACTTAACACTTCTCATCAACAAGACACACCTGGTACCAAGCTCTGGTTCACACAGCTAGTTCTGATGACGAGTTGATAACAAGCTTAAAAACCTGAGCCCTGATACCTTACAAAGTTAGTGTAAGACCTGTTACTAGCAATGACAATATTGTTTTTACTGACAGCCAATGTTGGATGTTGTTGCCTTACCCGTCTCTAGCTGTTCTTCTTCTTTTCTGGTTGCAGTAGCAAATTTCTGGTCAATTGGCAGAGTAGGGGCTGGGAATGTTTTAGTGGATCGCAGATTCCCTTTTGCCTCGTCCCTCGCACACCTGGCCACATGCTCCATCAGTGAAAGAGCAAGTATATCCCAGACCCTGAATATTATTTTTCCTGGCCATACCTCTGAGGAACTCCTCCCTTAATCTGACAGTTTTCAGCAGTGAGAATTTAAGCTATAGTAATGAAAAATTCAGAAACAGAAATTCCTGTTAGCTCCTGTTTTGAGCCTTTTTGTTTCAAAGCAGAACATGCTGAGCAACCAATGTACAGGCTTCTACCACTGATCTGCTGTGGTATTGGACTTTCTGACTGGTTGAGCAGTTGCGTTTTTACCCACCTTTCAAATCTGCTCAGTTATTTCAGCTCTTTCTCGAGGCTGATAAAATGACTGCAGGAGTTTATGCTGGTTTCCCCCATCTGCAGCACAGCACTGACTAGGTGCATCTTGCTACAGACGATGCCCACTCTCCCTGCTGCCTCTGCATCCCACTACTCTGGTGGCAGACCAAATCAAACACTGAGTTGTATAATGAAGCACTTAGAGGTGTATCAACCCTTTTACTACCCATTAAAGGCTTCCTGCCTTGAAGGGGCAGTCTCCCTCAGTGAGACGTAGCTAGTTATTCTGGACCCTGCCTGTTTGAAAAGAGAGGCCTCAGGGAGAGTGCTCATCTCTGCAGGTAAAACTGCTTGGCCGGAGGAAGGGAATGCCTTCTCTTTCTGACCAGCACCGTTACCACTAACATTGGGAACAGTGAGTCCTAGGGAAGAGGATCACGGTTCTGTCGGTCCGATGTGACTTTAGAATTAATTTAATATGCCAAAACTGCACCAGAACCGCGAGTTACAAAATCGTGGAAGGAACTGTTGCCTACAGCTTCCAAGGCTGAGGTATTCTTTAAAAGGACCGATCTTGTCTGTATGGGAAGAGGACAGTATATTGAGCGGCTGCAAATGCTGTCTTCTCAAGTAAAGAGGATTATTGTCAAGGCTTTGCATCGAGTTGGTGCTGCACAGAAGCCTGCGGGGAAGCCTTGGAAAACTAGACACCACGGAACAGGAGATGCTGTGTGCCTCTTGGTCACAAGACTGCTTTGCAGCCTGCAAAATCCCACCATATTGTTTTTAAAAGTGAAGTTGTGTAGCCCTCTCACCAAATAAATTGAATGAAAACATAAATGGGGACACAAAGGCCACTGAAATTTCAGATGATGAAATCCTAATTTTCTACTTATGAGAAGACTCAGATGATGTATTTGCTCTCTAAGAGGAGCACCAGGGAATGGATAGTCCAAATAATTTGAAAAAGGACCCTAACTGATCTATGAAGAGGAGTTTTTTTACCTGTTGGAGCTCCTTTCCTCTGTTTCTGCAAAAAAAAAATCATTGTATTAGAAAAAATTACAGTAAAAAACATTGAAGTTGCAAGGTCTGGCATGCAGGAAGGGCAAGAATTAGTGCTGTGTTCAACCGCAGCCCGTCCCCACTACAAAATCAATGTTGTGATGCAGCACTGAATTATGAGGTTCATCCCACTGTGGATATTTCTTCCATTAGTTTGTTTAGTGGCTGTTTGAACCTACTTATATTTCTAATATCCAGAGCATTGCTGTCACATTGCACCCTGCATTTATATTTGTAGCACATGGAAAAACCATCTCTTTTTAAATCCTCTGCCTGAGAAATTCATTTTGTGCCTCTCCATCTCAGCTTATTGGAAGCAAATGACAGTTTCCAATTTATTTTTTCTGTTATTGTTTTATAGAGCTCTGCCACAGAGCTCAGGGATCTTAAAATGTTGTGAAACTGATTAGCCTGAAAAAAATGTAACCCGTTTGTAATGGCTTTGGTAAATTGCTCTCAAAAATCTCTTCTGACCTGCTCTAGGGCTTTAATGTTAGATTGCTAGAGCTTGAGCTCTTTCCTTGGCTGGCCCTATTGTCCTCTTTTTGAGGACATTTAACAGTTAATGGCCTCCATGTGTACCAGTGAGAGGGGAAATATTTTCTGACTGGGTTTCATGAAAAGTCTTTGTACCATTGTAGGCTTCCGTCTCTTTCTGCTGTTCCAGCTGCTGGACCTCATGTCTGCTTCGTAAGGATCAGTTAGCTGTGTCCTGCTAGCCAAGCTTCCTCAAAGTTCTTTCATCTCACTGTCCCAAATTTTCAAAAGGGATGGTTTAAATCTGGTCCCCAAATGAGGAAGCTCTCCTGTCCAATGCACCTTTTGACCAGACCACACATTGGTTTTTTTATCCGACCACTCCGGGTATTACTTTCAAAACAGCCTTCCTGTCAGGCAGGAGGGTTGGTAGGAGGCAGCTGTTACTGGCATTTCCCCCTTTTCTCTTGTATGGGTGTTTCTTGGGTATGAAGGGGCTGAGTGCCTCTGTATCTGACTTCTGACATTCGCTGCAGCAATCCTTACACGTTCTTCCCTAAGCCCAACATTCTGCTTCTCCGGAACCTTCTGTTAAAACATACTTAAAATCAAGGTTTTGTTTCTCTCCTGACTTAGTGTCCAACAACTCCTGATTTCAAGAAGGAGAACGGGAACATGTTGTTTCCCTAGCTTCACATGTCTTCCATAAATACATGGAATCATAGAATCATAGAATTCACCGTCTGTCTGTAATGACTGACCTGGACCTTAGTAGAATAGACCAGACTGGTCTGTTTGGTGTTTCACCTTTCTTTCCCAATTAGCTTGGATGCATTAATCTTTTCTTTTTAACAAACTGCACGTCATATTTCCTCTGGGAGATAACTCTCTTGGCCATTACACAACTGAAGTAAAGGATTTTTTGTTTTGTCTTTTAAATACTGACAGACTTCAAGAATATGATCTAATTTTGTTCCCTTCATAACACGAGGGTACAGTTTTATTAGATTTCTGAATCAAGCCCACAGTGTCTGAAGAATCAAGAACCTTTAGGAAGACATCTAATTTTAAGGTAAAGAAATAAGGTGGAGGAAAGTCTGTTATAGACCAGCAACAGCCATGCATTAGCATGAATGCCAAGTTTGGGAGCACTAGAAATGTGGACTGACTCTAACAATGAAGAGCTGTAGCTCTTGATTATTACTAGAATTTTTTTTTTCACCCAAGGACCCAAGTTTTGTTACTGGCAGACTCCCTGAAAGGAGGTAACAGGTAAGTACTCAGGTATAACATTAGGGCAGTCTGACAGTTCTTTTGCATGCAACAATAGTGCGGAGTTTTATTCTCTCCAAACCTCAAAAACAAGCCGATAATTTCTTTCACTATGTGTGGCTACACTATTTAAGGTGATATGAAAGTGAAATTTTAAGCACAGCTTGCAAAAATGTTTACAGTATGAGTTAGGTAGTGGTGAACATCATATGTGTATTTAAACCAAACTGTATTAATGCAGTGACCTTCAAAGTGGCACAGACTAAATATATTAGGAAAAGGCGGAAAAAAAGAATAAACTTACTGGAAATCCCATGCAGGATGTGGGATTTCCAAGAATGGCTGATGCTGAAACATGGAGTGATTGAATAGGAAACAAAGCTTTGCCTTTATCACATTTTAATAGCACAGCATACTTCTCAAGTGACATTTTGAAAAGCATCGCAAAAACTTGCTTTCAAAATGAAAGAAGTATCGTAACAGCTTACTACATGAGCTGAAAACATTTACTAGACAATCTGCTTCACTGAAGAAACTTGCAACAGCTCACAAAATTGTTTCAGCAAATATAGCAAGAGATGTTATGTTGCTTGAGAAGTACTACCACAATGTGATAGGGAAAATGCTCTCTGACCCTTATAACACAGTTGTTGTTTTAAGACTTTGATAACAGAACTGAGATTATTGGACATATATACCTATATATAAAAGCCATACCACAGGAAAAAAGTTAAATTAAGAATTAAGGAGCTGGGAACTATGTTTATAAATCATGTTTATGTTTAGATCTTCTGTGATCTTCTGTGTTTAGAAGATCACTGGAATAAATGCAATTTTGATTTTTTTTTCTTTTTTAGATAAAAGGATGTTTGGAAGCTCTGAGATTTGGTTAACAATTATGACTTGGTGTTCAGGGCATACTGGAATGAAAGAAGTTGCCAAAATTTCCAGGAACAACTAAAATTGTAATTTTGTGTACTGCATAAGCCGTTGTTATTGAAAGAAACAGTCCTAAATCCCTCCCCTCCATTCCATTCCTCCATCAAAACTGTTCAGTATCAGGAAACTGGTCTGGGCTCACACAACCCCGGGAAAAGACAAAGTGAGCCTGTTTTCACTTAAGTTGCAAATCTGTGCTGTAAGGTCTATCATCTCTTTTCATCTTTAAAGAAATCCTGTAGATCTGCAGACCATTTAGGAGCGTAACAAACCTATATTGAGATATAGCTATTGGAATGAAATACTTAGCTTTTCTCCCTCCAAGGCTTAGAATAGCTTTGAACGTGCTAAGAACAGCCTGTTGTGGATGACAAATGCTTGCTGTTTTCTTCACAAGAGGAACCTCCTTGGGAGAGTGCATTTCTAGACAAACAAAGAGCATGTGGTGAGCAACGAGGATTGCTTTTACAAAACTGCAAAGCAGCTCCTCTCTGGGACAGAGACTGAATCTGCAATGTTTCTTTAATGATAAAACATTTGGGCTTGCCAGACTGCAGACTGGAGCAGAGATCGTGATGTAATATAAATTCTGTAAAGAGAGCAATGCATACAGCATTCTTCGTGGGAATAGTGTGTGGGAGTAATTGATAAGATGCAGTGGACTGGCCTCTAATTGATAACATGAGAATTATTATGGTCTCTTTCTTGCCCCCACCCCATTACAAACACTTAAAGCATCTGAGCATTGCCAAACCATTTGCTAATGAAGGTTAATATTTGTATGTGCTATAGATACTGGCCCTATCTATTTCTGTTTTGGGAAAACAAAAAAACAAGCACTGAAGATAAGCACTAATACATTTTATATGAACATAATCCATCTTCTGCAAATCCCAGGGAACCTTTTTCTACATTGCTCTGCAGATCACTGACCAGTAAATGGCTCTGCATGTCTGCTCTCCAGGAATTTTAAGACATTGCACAGTGGGTGCTGGCATCCCAACTTGTTCTTCCTAAGAAGGGACAGCAATGAATGCAGTGAATTTCTTTTTACAATTGCCATGTATTGTGCCAACTTAACATGTGTCAGTGGCTACATATCTATTAAAGAAGAGAAGATAAAAAAATAGGAAAATATTTACTGAGGAAAGGACTAAAACATTTACCAGCCCCAAAACACTGTCTCTCAAAACACAGATAGTTCCCCTTGTCGCCTGTCTATACACTATTTGCCAAAGTAACTTACCTGCATTTCCTGGTGCTTTGTCTTCTGAACTGTTAATGCCATCTTCAGTGCATATCCCAGAGAGAAACCGAAGTCTAAAAAAAAGTAGGGAGTGCATCACAGCTGAAACACAACCAGCACGCTCTCCAGGTGCATTAGTGCGTTCTGCAGGGAAATGAGAGCACGGCTCATGGCATCAGGGCAAGCGACTGACGGTGGTAATAGCTCTGCTCATGAAGAGCAGTCTCCAGAGAGAAGCGGGACATTCCCCTCCACCAGAGTTTCCTCCAGCATTGCTCCATGGGGGAGAAACTCATATTCCCATAAGCATCAGCGAAGACTGGGGTAAGGCATGGTAGCAGTCTTAAGATACATTTTTAAAAGCTGCTACAAAACTAAGGGAATAATCGGTTTACTCTACACATTTGGGAAGAACTCAAAAAAGGAGGAATGAAATGTCCTTGCAGCCAAGGACAGTCAGACTGGACATTAAGAAGGAAAGGCTTTCAGTAGCAAGGACAGCGTGAAGGACCTCCTGTCGTAAGTAGGAGTTGATTCTACTTTGCTGCAGAGGCACAGCCTACATGATCTCAGTGCCTTCCTCAAGGCTGGAAGGTGGAGGCCATCAGAAAGGATGTCCTGCTGTGATGGCCCTACTACAAAGAGTGTGTTTGCAAGTTGCAGACCATTGGAAGAATTACAGTCATTATATTAGCCCTGGACTATTTGCCACGTAGGGGGAGAGTAATGAATTTCTGTCTTTTTTTTAATGTAGGAGCGGATGCATAGTGTCATTTTTGCAAATTATAAATACTAATGCATAAAGAAAAGATTTCTCATTGCAGATGGATGTAGCACTGTATTTTAGTCCCCAGCTGGCCTGGTAAACATATTGGGGAAAAAAGGCTACTTCTGCTCTGTATTCATCTTTTTTCCCCCACTTTTACCTATTCTTTTTTTTATTTATTTAATTTGCTAGACTTTATGCTAGCTTCTCATTTGGATGCACCTTTGAGTTATTATTTGGGAGGGGTTGGGGTTTTGGGGTTTTTTTTCAAGGGTTTAATCTTGTTTATGACCTCCCTAACTCTGCTGTCCTGCCTACATTTCTCCATTCCTGAATGTTGCTAGATCATATACATTTGCTCTGCACCTCCACCACGGTAGCTTAAATACTTGCTATGTTCTTGCAAACATTTTTACTTTCTCCTTTTAATTTCTTTTTAACAAGTCTCTCGATTTCATGCATTTCACTTGTTTGAAATGAAATGTAATGGCGGTGGATAGTTTTGACTGCTGTTGTATCTGCAAGGATGTTCTGCTGTGGGATTGCTGTGTTACCAAGCAGCACTTCAACAGTAAAGTGTTGAAACACGTCCTCTGTGTTGGTCAGGTCCAGGTCAAGTTTTGCTTCTGTTCTTCTCAGGTCTGTGACTAGCTGCTCCTTTAAACACACGCTGAGGAGGTTTAGCAATTTAGTCACGGGGCCATATTGCAAAGAAACATTGATCTTCTGTATGAGGAGTAGTACTTTTCCATCACAACTACAGAAGTCCCCATTAGTATAGCATCTCAGTTTTGCAGTCTCTCTGATTTCTCGTAGCATCCCATATCCGTTGTCCCTTGCTCAGGGAAAGGAGGAAATGGTTTAAAATTGTGAGAAAAGTCTCTGAGGCCAGTGCTAAGATGACCACAGCAGAGGATGGTTTGCATCGATCACAACTAGTCCTCTGAAGACGGTAGTAGCCAGTCCACCCACCCCATTGATGAGAAGGGTGTTGGTGTGGCAGCTCAGCTGCTAGCAATGCCCTTTTAAGAGGGCTGGCATCACAGTGCTGTGCTGTGCTTTGCATGGTAATGGCTTCTGAAGCACTTCGTATGTGAAAGCACTTGAGGGACTAAGGAGGTACAGTGTAGTGGAAAAATGCAAAAGAATGTTCTTTTCTATGGCTGAAAATATTTGTGCTTTTTCACCTTTTTTTCCTGCAGATGTTGCAATCCTGGGAATGGACATTGATGTGCAAACCATGGAGGACAATGTCATCAGCTTGGAGATGCTGTTTAAAACATGGCTACATGACTATGGCACAGAGAGAGAACACCTCCATCTCCTTCTTCCATCAGGAGGCTTCAGCCATGCCACTGCACCCAAGACCCCCCTAAGTATTTTGTCTGCTCTCCTCCCTGCAGGACGCTCCTAAATCCCACAGCCTTAAAGGTTACCCAGGCCTGTCCAATGGGCACGTTCCCTTACATTTAGAGACCCAAGTAAGGTCTCTGGGAGACTTTGAAAGCTGTCTGGAGTTTCTGTTGTCTCAGGCTGAGAGGGGCCATTTGCTCAGAATACTTCTAGGCTGATGCCGTGTCCTGTGGCTGCTGATGCTATAATTCATTTCCATTCTGCAGCAAAAATGTGGCTTGAAGAGTATGTGAATTTATAGCCACTTGGTCAAGGTAAAAGGGGCTTTACGTACTGAGAGCCAAGGACCTGCTGGCTCAGTTGTATAGCCCTAAAAATTGTGTTCCCTGTGTTTGATACTAGAAGTCTATGCCAGAGCTGCACTTAAATAAGGCTGTCTTACAAAGGGACTTGGCTTGTATTTATATCTATTGATTTAGCACTAAAATAGCTAATGTTCTAGCTGGAGCTGCCAACAGTTTTAATAACGCATGGGAAAATTTATAAGGAACGTGTAATTTTTTTTCCTTTACTAGTCTAAGTCCTAACCCATCCTTGGGTGAGCACTGAAAACACCAACAGCTACAGCAGACATAGGTGTTTCCCGTAAGTTGTTGTTCCCATTGCACTGCCATGGGAATCTGCACGTGCAGTTCCAGCAATCCCCTTTCCATGCCTCTCCAGTATGGTACTATGTGCCACTCCAATATGGTACTCACGTGCAGCTTCTCATTGCCGTCACAGCAGAAGCACACTGTTTTTCTTCTGGTGATCCACAGGCCAGTTCCACACTGGAAGCCAAGCTCATGGAGAGTTGCTGGTGGCTCTTGCAGATAGGTTCCACAGCAAGCAGATCAGAAAGCCTGGTGTGACTTTTTATTTATGTAGTAGCTACCATAACAGCCTCCAGACCAGCACAGGCAATGATGATATTTTGTTAAACATGTATTTTCCTTCATCGTAACATTGAATTTCATGGTCGATGCATTGTCTTATTATAGTTAGCAAGACAAACCAAGTTACACTGCAGTCAGGTTTTTTCACCTTCCCACACTCAAGAAATCTGTAGAAGGCCAGAGAAATCGTATGCAGCTATATATCATATTACACCAGAGTTAGTGTCATCAGTGTGCTGGGTCTCTCCACAAACACAGACAGAAAAGCTGGCAGGAAACGTGTGGCCCTGAACCCAGCGTGGCACTGGGAAACGAGTTTCTGCTCACTCTGCTGCTGGCCACTCATTGCCAAAACTGGAACTTGCCTGCCCAGTTACCAACCAATCCTTGTTTCGTTAACATGCCAAACACCTGGAATTTCCCCTTGTGTGTAAAATGGGGATAAATTGTTGCCTTGTGTCACAGGCTTTAGCGTTGTTCTTCCCTTAATAGTTGCTGTTGCTAGAAAACATAGTGTTTGTAAGTGCTTTGAGCATGTCGTGTGCTAAACATTGCCATTTCCAGCAACCTAAACCAATCTCCTCCTCCTAGTGTGCTTGAAGTGTGATTTGCAGGAGAGATTGCTCGACCCAGCTCTACTTTCTGGGGCGGTTGATGGCACCATGAGAGCAGCAGATTTGAATTCACCCTGCCAGATGGCGGCCTGGCCAGCTACAGTGCTGTATAAACTCCGGGTTGTAAAGTAAGTGTTGTTACATGCTTTGCACTTGGTAACTGGAAAGCTGGTGTAATAGCAGCCTTCACTCTTTCTGTGCAATTTCAACTAGGACCTAGTAACCTCACCATAAAGAGCTGGGGAACTCAAAGTGCTAGCGAGCAAAATTCTGGTGTAAGATACCCTCAACCCCCATAACTCCTAGTGTTATGGAACAGCACATCCCGCACATGCAGACAGGAGTGCAGAGTCAAGAACGGTGTTACCACGACACTAGCACTTTATGAGTGTTAACACCATAGCTGTTATCCATGCAACAGTTGTTTCCCTCCAGTGTGAAGCTCTGTAGATTGCAGCCATTGCTCCATATATAATTCTGCTGTTCTGTCACTACCTAATGAGGCCACAGCAATTAATCGGATGTCAGAGCCTGAGCTAACTAGTTGACTAGTAGTAAAAAAGCAAGCAAAGCCTCATAGTGCTGTGACTTCATGTAAGAATTTATTCGCTTTCCCATCAGCCATCTATGGCTGGAAAGCACAGGGCATAACAAGAAGAGTGATGCTCTCTAGTGTCTTTTCTGAGGTTTATTTATACGAAAAATGTTGTGTAATTTCTGCACTATACAGTTGCTCTTAAAATGATTGTCATCCTGTCAGTAGCTGAAGAGCACTCAGTAATTGTGCATAAACGACCCACAGCCAAAGCGCTGAAGCTACTTAATAACGCCCTGTCAGGAACCAGAAGCGTGCTACGGGCAGGCAATGTCAAGCACTGTAAAGTCTGTAGTGGTGTTTGTGGTGGGATGTTGGCTCTGTGCAGGAGTAGAGCACATGTCAGTTTACGTGAAGGATAACCACAATCCAGTACAAATCACTTAGGAAGAGATGTAATTGCCTGGGTGAGTTATTGCCCAAGAGGCCAGATTAACAATCTGTTTTGTATACAAAAATACATGACTGGATGTGCTTCTTGGCATGCTCTTGTCAATGCAGACACGAGGGAATCTGGAAGTCAGCAAGAAAGCCTCTTTTCACTGCAACTGGACTTTTCTGCAAGGTTTCGTAGTGACAGGCCGCAGCAATACAGACATTAAGTGCTTGCGGCAGTATTGCAGCGCATACTGCCATAGCCACTTGAGCTAGTCATCTCCTGGTAGAGTCTTCTTGCTGGTTTCATGGTGGCTGTGCTTCACTAACACGAGCTGCATATTTGCAGGGCTCTGAAGTCTGAAGGGGTCTGTGAGTCTGTACTGTATGGCCTGCCCTTCATCATCAAGCCCACAAGCTGCTGGCAGCTAGACTGGGATGAACTGGAGATAAACCAGCACAGCTTCCATGCTCTATGTCATAGTCTTCTGGTGAGTGTGTGAAAATTGCAGTCTCATGGGGAGGGATTGCCATAGAAAGGAATAGTTAGTGCACGTCTAGTAAGATCTGTCTAGCTTGCACCAGAAAACGTGTTTCAAAAGCCGCAGCTTCATCTCATGGGTCAGAGTTGAGCTTGTAAATCCTTCCAGCCAATGCCTCCACTAGAAAGACACTGCAGCACATCAAACCTTAGAGAAGACTCTCTATAGCCTATCAGAAATCCAGTATTTGGAGGTACGAAGTGCAAAGGTCAGGGTTGGAGTTAGATGTGCGTCTTTAACTGTGAAAACAGTTAACCAAGGCTTGGGATGTGGAGGACTTTCCATTACTAACAAGTCATAAAGCAAAATTGGATGTTTTTATTAAGAATCGTCTTGCATTCGATTAAAAAAAAAAACCCAAACTACATACTATCCTCAACCATAATGCAGAATAGTGTTGTTATTCTGATGTGTTTGAATGCCTCTGCTCCTGAACCCAGCAGCCCCTACAGTGAAAGTGCTGAAGGAAGTGGCTATTGCCCATTGTTCACATGGGTTTTGCCTTTTGCCATTTAGAAAAGGAAGTGGATGCTCTTGGCCAGACGTGAGCCACAGAACACTAGTCCAAACTGGAACATCATGGTGCATTCCTACTACATCATTGTCCCTTCTGACTCTGCCACTCTACTTGTCAAAGCAGTCGCCAGCAGAGAGCTCTTGCTGCCATCAACCTTCCCAGCCCTCCTTGCTGAACATCCTGAGAGAGTGCACGGCCCTATAGAGGTAAGTCATTGGCAGCCCTGCACAGATATCTGTGGAAAGGATCCCAGTTGTACAAGCAGGAATCAGAGTAACGATCAGCCTTTATGGACAGGACATGCAGCTGCTGCTGAAGATGTATCCATCTCCCTCATTACTGGGCAACATGGACCTCCTCAGACTGCAGAGAGAGGTGCTGTAGGCATAAGATAAATCAATACATAAAGCGTCTCTGTTTCTTCCAACAGACTCAGGCTTCTGCATTTCCTATTTTGCATCTGTATGTTCTTCTCCTGAGTTGTCTGCCTCTGCTTCAGGGGATGCCAGGAAGGGCAGAGCCCTCACCATAGGTCTTAGCAGATGAGCAGAGGAGGAAACAGCTGTGAAAATGTCTAGTGACAGCTGGAATATGATGGAGCACTCTGAAACTTCTTCCCAGCAGCCAATATATCCTACAGCTTTCTACACGGACAACAAATGCCTGTCCTTTGGAGCAATGTTGCATGTCTGTTGGGGGGAAGGGGAAGAGGTCTTAGGAAGCAGAGAGCTGAGGGTGACAGTGCCCAGAAAGGGTGCTCCAGCTTGTTGGCTGATTCTGGGCATGGGGGAGGACAGGACGGCATCCTGCAAGGGGATGCTTAAATCCATTAAGACCTGGTTGCAGATGCCTCTTGTTCTATACACAGCTAAGAGTGGTCCTCGTGGGCAGCAGCACAGCCAAAGGTCCTTTCTCCCATCACTGCAGGGTGGCATGGAGCATCTGTAACATCCCTGCAAAAAAAGCCCTCAACACTAAAAAACAACAAAACCCCCCGAGCAAAGCCCACAGCCTCTACCTGTCGTATCTCATAGCCACTAGGTTCTTTGTTCTGTCTGAGCAGAGTGCCCTGAACAGCTTGGAAGTGGAAGTTGCTTATAACCCCTTGCACCTAAAAAGCAACCTCTACAAATACCTGAAGAGTACGTTGTACAAACCTCTGCACAGGCCCAGGGACCAGCGACCAGAGCGGCATCAACCCAAGCAGGTATGTCTCTTGCCTTTGACTAGCCTAGATAGCCTCTGTTCCGTCCTGGTCTGCTTCCCGCAGAAGGGCGGAGGGCAGCTCCCTGACACCCTGGCAGCACAGGGAAGGCAGCATACGGCAGGGGCAACATTCACTTGCAGCTGGCGGAGCAGAGGGATGGGCATAGCGTGAGCTCATGCAATTGAGGAGAGGAATGCTGAACAGCTGGCACACGCAGACACAACCAGACAGTGCGCTGCTGAACAAGCCAGCGCCTCCTTCCACAAGGTGCATTTGTATTTTGTCCCTGTATTGCAGCATCAGAGCAGAGCCAAAGCCACGGTGGCGCCCCTTCTGATGGCTCCTTCTCCTGTCCAAGTGCTCAGACCAGCAGCGGCGAGGAGAGATTCCTGTGAGCGCTCCCTGCCCTCCAAAGAGTATGACGAGTTCCTGCAGTGAACCCCAGGGCACTGCCTGCGCCTCCTCACGTGCAGTCACGGTTTGGCTTCTCACTCGGCTGCCAACCCTTACGCACTGGGCCGGAAGCGGTCAGCAAGACACTAAGCTTGGCCTTGGTCAGACAGGCACTTCCCAGTGTTTGTTCCTCCTTGTTTTATGGTTTTGTTAGTCACCAAGTCAGTCTGCAGGAAGCCTGCTGCTCTGGGGCCCTCTGTCCAGAGGCTCAGCTATCCCCTGCAACACCCCATATTTCCCATTCTCGTCAGCGCACATCACCAACATGCCTCAAATTTTGGTTTCCGAGACTAGGCTAGTACAGACCACAAACCACAGATTGTTGTCAGCAGGTGCAGAAAAGCTGCAAGCAGGGCGGCGAGGAAGTCAGACATAGATAAAGGAGGCAGTTACGTCAAGCTGCCTTCAGCCTGCAGGAGTAGGTTGAGCAGGGTGTTTGAATAGGCATAAACCAGGGCTTTTGAATTTAATCTTAAAGCCCAGCAGCACTACCCATGATGCTGCTGATTTGCTTGCTTCCATAATTGGTCTCACCGTCCAGCTCCCCAGCTCGTGAAGGGGTTTGTAGCAAGTGCCAAGCCAGCCGCAATGCCCCCGCTGGCTCCTACACAGCGACAGCTCACCGCAGCTGGAGCTGCAGCACAGCACCATCCTCCCGGCCAACTGCTGCTTGGATACTTTCCTCCGTATGGCCTGTCTGTGCCTATGGGGCTGTTCTGCAAGCCAACACGGCAAGTACTTTTCGGCAGGGTTCAGAAGATTGGGGGGGGGAGTTGCTCTAGAGCTTTCCAGAGAGCTTCTGCTCAGTGCTTGCACAGATGCTAGCCTGTTTTTCAGTGCAAAGGTGGGACAGCTGCCCCCGGCAGGGCAGGAGCCGAGGCCAGCTCAGCTGAGCCAAGGTGGGGTGGTCTCACTGGGCTTCCTGGATGCTGAGCGCGAGCAGGGGTTTGTGTTCTGCTTACTTTGTTCTGACAAGCTGTTTCAAAATAAAGTTATCCACCATAATGTTGACTTACCGCCTGTAGTTTATAACGTGTACTGCATGCAGCAATCCCAGCACTGACCTGCGCTTCCTGAGAAACAGCAGCAGTTGACCAAGGGCACGATGCAAACACCGTGCTCCTGGGGGACTGCTACAGCAGGAGAGCGGAGCCATCGGAGCCATCTCTTTTCCCTGGGATCCCAGCTCAGTAACAGGCCCTGCTAGCCACCCAGGGCACGGACCTGGCTCTTCCCACGCCCTGGCAGCGCTCCAGGCCTGGCAGGAGGCTGCATCTCAGGCAGCTGCTTGGGGTAAGATGTCAAGGGCAGGTACCTCGAGGACCGGGCAGACACTCCTGCAGGCGCAGGGATATGGGTTTGTTAGGGAGCGCAAGCTGGTGGCTAACCCCTGCCTGTCTCTAACAAGCTCACAGCATGAGGAACTGGGGAAGGAGTAGTAGCAAAGGGCAGTAATGTACCTACAGATGGCCCAGCCTGGGGCATGCAAACCAGACAGAAGTGTGAAAATGACAAAATCAGGCAGACAGGGGGGGCGAGGGACACAATGGGGAATTAGCTTGACTGAACTGACGATGCAGGTGGAAATTACTTTGGCAACCATATCATAAATAAACTAAATAAATATAAATAAATAAACATAAATAAACTGGGGTACAAAGTCAACAAAACACCTTGCCAATGGGAAGGGGTAAACTAACAAGGGCTTGTGATTTATTGCGATAGAAGGAAGCTGCTAAAGGGGAAACTCGTGAAGAGGGAAAAGGGACTATAAGGAGAAGCAGATCACAAAACTGGGGCTGTTTGGAGGTCCCTGTTGAAAAGCCCTCCACCTGACCGCCACACTGTGAAGCAGCGCAGTAACTGTGCTGTTGCTCTGACCAACTCCTGACAGCCAGAGGCAACTTCGCTGCTTTCCCTAATGCCAGTGTGAGAACAGATCTCCCGGCAGAACAGTTGTCTCGTGCCTGCACCCCGCTAGGCCCTAAAGGGGAGGAGGTAGCAGTTATAAAAGGACGTATCTTTCAGAATGGGAAACAGAAGAAGGTAGCCCCCAAGGGCAAGAGGTTGGTGGGACTTTGAGCAGCTCCCAGGTAATTTTCTCCTGGTAAAAACTGCCACCTGGCCTACAGAGACCAAGACTTCTGCTTCTGTTGCATCCCAGCTGTGGCTGCTAGACCAGTACTCCGACATTTCTCAGCTAATCTGGGGCATGGGGTTTCAGCAGAGAACAGGGAGGCGCACAGGCTGTCTTCACATGAGGAAGTCTGATCTCCGAAGGACTTCCCACGCACCACCCAATCTGGCCCATAGCACCTGGACTGGGCAGAAGCAAAGCTGCTCACCCAGGACCACTTCTGCACTGTAAGAAAATGGGCAGAGCGAACAGCCAAGCATAAGCCGTGCATCCCCAAGCACCTTAGCAAAGCCTTGTTCAGGACTGGCTGCCAGGATGCCATTTTCAAAGTACACAGACTGAATTCAGCCACGGCACACGTGACTGCAGTGATGGAGATGCACAGACACCCATGGCTGTATGGAAGGGGGAGCCCCGGGGCTCTGCTCCTGGGAGGCTGCTCTTCATCGTTTAAGTCTTGGAGCCTCACACTGGAGTCACGAGCAAGGATTATGAGCGGGTGGCCTGGGCCCCCCGCAAACCGATGCCCAGAGCTCTTCTCTGGAACAGGCGGGCAGAACTGCTCTTGGGACACGTGCACGGACCGCCATGGACAGGAAGACAAGCACGGGACCACCCAGCAGCCAGCCACGAGCAGCAGATGGCTGCTGCTCACGCCTCTTGTCCCAGGCAGGAACTGCCTCAGATTCCCAAAGCCCCTTAAGGCTTTCTCCCTTCTCCTGCAGCAAAACCCCAGTGGGGAAAAGGACCCAGCACAGGAGAACAGCCACAAATTGGTCCTGCCTACAGCTGTGCTGTGTTGTTACAGGACTGAGGCTTCCCCTCCCTGCAACTTGGGCACGAGACAAACGCCCAGAGCTCACCGCCTTGTCACCATCTCACCCATCTGGGGACCCGCACCTGATCTTCCAGACTTCCCCAATGGTCTGTGGCTTCCTGGGTCTGAGCTGGGGCTGCAGAAGTCATGCTTAGTCCTCTGCACAGGTACGCCATAGTGCTGCTTGTCAGCTGGCTGTTCTGCTGCGGTCTGCATCAACAGGCTGGTAAACCTGCAGAAGTCACCAGTAGCCCCATCCAGACTCAGGGACAGCCAATGCCAGGATGCCTGGTCTAACCCCGCTCAGAAGGGACATAAAATCTCTCAAAACCATTATCAGCACCAAAAGGACAACCTGTTTTTCCCCTGCATATGTTTCTGCCCAAGGCTGGCCACACGGCAATCGCAGCCAAACCCCTGACCTCAGACCACACAGCAAGGATCACAGTTTTTGCCATTAAAGTCAGTGGGATCCAGACTGGACCATCCCAGGCCTTTCAAGAGCAGCTGGGAGTGGGGGGAAATCAGCAGAGGGATCAGGCTGGGGAAGGAGCGATCCTGTGACTAATCAGCAGTCACCGAGCTGCAGCAGCGCTGGAGCCTGGCTCTGCTCAGCCTTACGCTTGGAGGCCATCACATTTCATGCCCTGATCAGCACATAAAGGTATCTGCGAGCCTGACTCTCATATCCCTTCATCCCCTGGCACCACAGCTGAACCTGGCACCCGCTTTTCTTCGCGGTTTCCTCTTAGCTCAGTAGCTCTGGCACAGGCACGAACGTGCCACCACGCGAGCACTGCTCAGCTGGGCTGCCCTGCTCCGCAGCACTGCGCCAGCATCTCCCCATCCGTGTGCCTGACAGCCCAGACATGCCACAGGCAAACGTTTCATTCTAAAACATGCACATTTTAATATTAAAATAATTTTGTATAAAAATACTTTTGGAGACTGAGGGCAAGCAGTCTTCCACGCACCACAACGGGCATCCCAGCCCTGCGGGCTGGTCAGAGAGGAAGCCAGAGCAGAGCCAGAGCAGCCGGGGCAGGGCGGCGCAGCCAGCCCTCCTGCGGATCAGGAGGCGGCAGCAGAGCCAGCTCCAGAGCCAGAGGCACGCTGGCACCTGCACCAGCCACAGCTCTCTTGCTCTTGCTGCGGAAAGGGCCCCCAGGGAAACGCAACCCCTCGGTGCTGGTGAGCAAGAGAGGCTCTGCCCGAGCCAGAACAGTCCCAGCCTCAAGCCACCCCCAGGACCTGCGGAGGACAGCAGCCAGCACTGCTCACGAACGGGCCTAGGCCCCCCGGTCCCTCCTGGGCAGGCACAGAGCAGCAGCATGCTATATCTCTCCTAAGTCCTCGTAGACAGGCGATAAGCTGCACTCATCCACGGACTGCTCCTTCTTCTGCATGTGCTGGGGCTTCACCACCTGGCTGTACAGCACCTCTACGTTGTTGTTGTTGCTACTGTTGAGGCTGGGTTTGACGACCGCCTTCTCAGGAGCAGCGTTCCCTCGCCACCTGCCAGGGTCCCCGCTCCTCTCGGCGCCTTTAGGGATAAAGGCTGCCTGAGGCTTGGGGGCAGGCACCGGCTTGGGGCCCTTGGCCTTGGCCTGGAAGGCAGGTACCGAGTAGTCATCAGTGCTGGGGTTGTAGGGATACTCGTAGCCGCTCCTGCCGTCATGGCCCTGGGTGCGCCAGGCCTCGCCTGTGGGCCGTGCTTCGTCGTAGATGCAGGCGGAGGGGGGCAGCGAGCGGGGAGCGCGACCCTCGGGCTCATCGTAGATGTGCTCTCTCTGCCCGGGCACCGCGGGGGCCTGGCTGCGTCCCTCAGCCCGGACCTGCTTGTACGTGCCCGAGTATGGCGGCGCCGGCAGCCGGAGCTTGGTCTCGTCCGAGGCACCGCTGGGCGCCTTGGCCCCGCTCACAGCCTTGCTGTCTATGGGGTCCGAGTACAGCGGGTCCAGCCAGGGCCGGAAGCCCTTCACCGAGTCCAGGGGCTCCGAGTACACACTGGACGGGTCCTCGGCCGGCAGC